CCATTATATGACCGGCGAGTGAGTCATACAAACCCATGGCTTCTGGTCTTCAGCGAGAATTGGATGCAATAGTTGTGTATATATTTGCGTTCATTGGATGTCAGACTCGACTCAAACACTATTTCTGTGGTTTTGGACACAAATATGATATGAGATATGAATTGAATTGAAGCCAACTATCAGTGAACTACCGGCGCGACTGTCATCGCGGAGGAAGGTGTCCAAGCGCTCAGTTATGCTGATCTTGACGTCCTCTTTAATACAAGCCATTTGTTTGTTATTAGCGTTCAATCGACTCATACTTATGGCTATTAATGATGTCTTCAACTGTATATCAATTGTATGATTAGTTTTGTGTCAATTCAATGACAATTAGTTTGCATTCATTCACCACTTGTCTCACAATAACTCACTAAACATATGATTACTGTTTGAAAACAGACTCTCACTGTCAGTGCACTCACTCTCTCCACTGTCGGGGGAATGAAAGGCAATACTCCATACAGACATACAATCCATGCATGATTTCTATGCAAACAGTGGGCATTCATTCAACGATTGGCATTCAGTCATACATCCATGTGATTGACAATGAAATTCTTGTGGAATTTACTGAATACATCTCTACAGGAATGTCTCATTACTAAGTTATTCAATGAGATAAGCAAGTCCAATTATGATGTATACATATTATTTATAGCTGTGTTAGTAATTTAATCGTATCACTATTAATGTACCAATTGGTACTAGTGAATTACTAGTGGTACTAGTATTGTATTGTATTAGTGAATATATCGTTCAATTTTGCAGAATCTCTTCATAACCAATAAAAATATGACAATTATTTTATTTGAAATCAATTTTAATTAACGCTTCAATTAAATTACAAAATCGTATTTAAAGGATGATATAATTACATTAAAAAACAAAAATTTTATCAAATCTAAAACTTTTGATAAGTCTATAACCTGGTAGTGCCTGGTGATCTATATGGTAGTGCCGATAACCTACCAGAGCACTCCTAGATACAGCGATAGCACTGGTTATTAGACTAGCATTTATCGGTTGAGTAGAGTTGGGAATCTTGAGGTTTGGTGATCTCGACGAGATCCCAATTCTCATTATACCGGACCGTATAGTATATGTCGTCAACCATGGCTTTGTCGGACAGTGCCTTCCTCATGAACTGACAGATCTCTTCCTTCTGGAGACCATTGATGTCACTCTTCATGAACTTATCCAAGCATAGTGTGGGCTTCTTTTTGCTAATTCGGGAGCCATTCTCGTCAACACAATAGCATTCCCGGCCCCCATTGGAGCACTGGAAGGGATTGAAGTTCCCTAAAGTGTCGCATTGAAGCTTACTATACGGCAGGTTCTCCTTTGTCTGGTAGAACTCCTGCAGAGCGCACCGGCAGCTCATCTCATTCATCTTACCCGCAGACCTATCGATCCGGTAATTGCCCGCCAGAGTCGAGTCGCTTGGGTTCACACAAAAGCATTGGACTGTCAGTCAGAATATATATTAAAAGTATTTTTAATAATCAAAATATGTAATCAATTGTAGAGATAATGAAAATGGTGATTGCCTTACATGCATTGCATTGTCTGGATCCATATCTGCCATCATATGAGCAAGTGACATCACCCATATTCGACAATTCTGTTCCCTTTTTGAGGAATTCCAGTGAAAGGGATTCTGATCTCAACACTAGTTTGTCGCATCCATTCTGATAGTTAGGGTCCGATTCTTTTGTATTCATTTTCTTACTCTTTTCTAAATCGACTACAAATTCAACACAAAACACAACCATTTTATTTGTAATTCACTCAAATTGATAATCATTTTTTACTGTTCATAAGTGACACGCAAATGATCAGGTTGATATCAAATATAGCATTTCACCAAAATTTCATTATACACTCAATATCTTAATTAAGTTATTAATATTGTAATTACTTTTGTAGATTCAATTAATATTCTAAATTATAACCTGATCATTTATGAAATCACATTAAGGCCACATAACACTCACAACAGGGCAAAGTCTGGAGGGCGCCATACAGAGCAGCCTTAGTAGACGAGGGCTGACCAGTCTTTTCATCGACACAAAAACAGGTGCCGTTAACGCACTGTAAGGGCTCAAAGTTGCCGGCGCTGTCGCACTTCATGTGTATCTGAGCGTTATCCTCGAGATTACGAAAATCGCCATCCGACCCCATATATTTCTTATGGAAATGGTCGGCGCACTTACATGTCACGTTCTCAGCCATGTCCTTCAAACTCAACCCGAATGTGAACTGTCCGTCCTCTGGGTTCACACAAAAGCATCTTTAATGAGAAAATGTGATCATTTGAAAAGTCTCCCTCAAAAAATCGATCTGTACTGTAATTGATAGTGAATTGCTTGGACAGAGACTTACTTTTCCTGCCCACACTGTTTGATCTTATAATGTCCCGTCTCATCGTCACAGTCGGGCATATCTAACAAATCGGTTTCGTATTCCATGGGGTAATACATGATATCGGTTTTCCTTTTATTGGTTTCGATGTAAAATTTCAAGCCCTTATTCGCCACTTGATTTCTATTGTGGTATTCAATGAGACATTTTTTCTGAGTCGGGTCCACACTCGGAATATTGCACTGTTTGGTCGATGGGTTGCAAAACAGGCCGTTCCGGCACCGGTATATTAGTGAACCCACCTTACACGAGTCGTATTCATCTGACATTATATATTAGAAACACTAATTATTTAAACTTTAAATCCTAGATTTTTATTAATTCAATTATTACTTAGATAATGAACGCACGCGGGACAACATCCCCGTCCCGTCACATTATCGACTTTGATTACGATCTCATCAGGGAAAGTTGGTTCACAAACTTCTATTGGTTCGCATTGAATCTAATAGCATATGAGTTATTCAAATTGACACTGGTTACATGAAATTTGAAATTATAAGTTTGACTTCCGGAATCCGGGTTTAATAGAAATGTGTGTTTTAATTGTAAATTTATTTAAATTGTTAGTTAGAATAATAGTTAATTACATACATGACTACAAAAATCAATTGTATCAGGTTCTTTAGTACCACATTCTTCGTGGTGAAGGACTCCAAATTGTTCGGTCCTCCTTTGTAGGCAATATTCAGCATTATTTTTGTAGTCAATTACACTCCACTGTTGTTCACTTGAAAACGGGGTAAATATTATAAAAATTATCAAAATATTTAATAAGTAGCTTCCATTTTTTAAGTTCATTATTTATTATATTTTTATATAATTTTTTTAATTAAAGTACTGTTTTGTGTAATTAATTGTGAATATCAAATTAGAAATCGAAAGAGTATTTCTGATTTATTGGTAAATATTATTCACATTTTCTCATATAATTCATTGGAATTTCTATTCATTTTAGGTGTTTATGTTGCTTAGAGATTGAGAAATGTCTCATTTCTCTGATAAGATACTCAATGTAAGGCTTAAATGTCAAACAATGAAAGGATTTATTAATGCCATTTTCATAATAATACGGTAATAATAATAATAATAATAATAATAATAGTATAAAGTGATAAGAAATTATTGGTATTCTAACTCAGAAAATAAAAACAAATTCTTTAATTAGGATCCTGTTAAGTATCAAGCAACATACTTAAGATTCTTCAAAATTTAAAAGTTAATTATAATTTCATTTTAAAGCGTTTGACAAATTGTGTATTACTAATACAGTATTAGTGTTAATGTTTAACTGTTACTGTATTCTCATTGTAATAAGTACATTTTATGGTGCATAATTATTTATTTAGATATTTAGAATAAACAAATTCATTTTAGTTGGCATAATTTTTTAATTATCACTAATTTTTAATTATACATAAATTTACGCTTTTCTGTTTTTTAAAATATATTAAAATACGCAAAATATATCACATTTCCTGAACGTCTAAAATAAACGGAGTGCATCCGTAGAT